CATCAGAATGACTTGATATTCATATGGTATCACTGTGGGGTTGTATACTGTTGATCTAAAGTGGAATGACCCAGTGGAAACAGCAATTTTCCATTTTAGAGCATTTTGAAATCACTGAAAGTTTGGTCGTTTATGGGCAATTTAAAAAGGCCTTTATTTTGGAAAGCACCATCAGAATGACTTGATATTCATATGGTATCACTGTGGGGTGGTATACTGTTGATCTAAAGTGGAATGACCCAGTGGAAACAGCAATTTTCCATTTTAGAGCATTTTGAAATCACTGAAAGTTTGGTCGTATATGGGCAATTTAAAAAGGCCTTTATTTTGGAAAGCACCATCAGAATGACTTGATATTCATATGGTATCACTGTGGGGTGGTATACTGTTGATCTAAAGTGGAATGACCCAGTGGAAACAGCAATTTTCCATTTTAGAGCATTTTGAAATCACTGAAAGTTTGGTCGTATATGGGCAATTTAAAAAGGCCTTTATTTTGGAAAGCACCATCAGAATGACTTGATATTGATATGGTATCACTGTGGGGTTGTATACTGTTGATCTAATGTTGAATGACCCAGTGGAAACAGCAATTTTCCATTTTAGAGCATTTTGAAATCACTGAAAGTTTGGTCGTTTATGGGCAATTTAAAAAGGCCTTTATTTTGGAAAGCACCATCAGAATGACTTGATATTGATATGGTATCACTGTGGGGTTGTATACTGTTGATTTAAAGTGGAATGACCCAGTGGAAACAGCAATTCTCCATTTTAGAGCATTTTGAAATCACTGAAAGTTTGGTCGTATATGGGCAATTTAAAAAGGCCTTTATTTTGGAAAGCACCATCAGAATGACTTGATATTGATATGGTATCACTGTGGGGTTGTATACCGTTGATCTAAAATGGAATGACCCAGTGGAAACAGCAATTATCCATTTTAGAGCATTTTGAAATCACTGAAAGTTTGGTCGTTTATGGGCAATTTAAAAAGGCCTTTATTTTGGAAAGCACCATCAGAATGACTTGATATTGATATGGTATCACTGTGGGGTTGTATACTGTTGATCTAAAGTGGAATGACCCAGTGGAAACAGCAATTTTCCATTTTAGAGTATTTTGAAATCACTGAAAGTTTGGTCGTATGTTGGCAATTTAAAAAGGCCTTTATTTTGGAAAGCACCATCAGAATGACTTGATATTTATATGGTATCACTGTGGGGTTGTATACTGTTGATCTAAAGTGGAATGACCCAGTGGAATTAGCAATTTTCCATTTTAGAGCATTTTGAAATCACTTAAAGTTTGGTCGTATATGGGCAATTTAAAAAGGCCTTTATTTTGGAAAGCACCATCAGCATGACTTGATATTTATATGGTATCACTGTGGGGTTGTATACTGTTGATCTAAAGTGGAATGACCCAGTGGAAACAGCAATTTTCCATTTTAGAGCATTTTGAAATCACTTAAAGTTTGGTCGTATATGGGCAATTTAAAAAGGCCTTTATTTTGGAAAGCACCATCAGCATGACTTGATATTGATATGGTATCACTGTGGGGTTGTATACTGTTGATCTAAAGTGGAATGACCCAGTGGAAACAGCAATTTTCCATTTTAGAGCATTTTGAAATCACTGAAAGTTTGGTCGTATGTTGGCAATTTAAAAAGGCCTTTATTTTGGAAAGCACCATCAGAATGACTTGATATTGATATGGTATAACTGTGGGGTTGTATACTGTTGATCTAAAGTGGAATGACCCAGTGGAAACAGCAATTTTCCATTTTAGAGCATTTTGAAATCACTTAAAGTTTGGTCGTATATGGGCAATTTAAAAAGGCCTTTATTTTGGAAAGCACCATCAGCATGACTTGATATTTATATGGTATCACTGTGGGGTTGTATACTGTTGATCTAAAGTGGAATGACCCAGTGGAAACAGCAATTTTCCATTTTAGAGCATTTTGAAATCACTGAAAGTTTGGTCGTATATGGGCAATTTAAAAAGGCCTTTATTTTGGAAAGCACCATCAGAATGACTTGATATTGATATGGTATCACTGTGGGGTTGTATACCGTTGATCTAAAGTGGAATGACCCAGTGGAAACAGCAATTTTCCATTTTAGAGCATTTTGAAATCACTGAAAGTTTGGTCGTATGTTGGCAATTTAAAAAGGCCTTTATTTTGGAAAGCACCATCAGAATGACTTGATATTGATATGGTATCACTGTGGGGTTGTATACTGTTGATCTAAAGTGGAATGACCCAGTGGAAACAGCAATTTTCCATTTTAGAGCATTTTGAAATCACTGAAAGTTTGGTCGTATGTTGGCAATTTAAAAAGGCCTTTATTTTGGAAAGCACCATCAGAATGACTTGATATTGATATGGTATCACTGTGGGGTTGTATACTGTTGATCTAAAGTGGAATGACCCAGTGGAAACAGCAATTTTCCATTTTAGAGCATTTTGAAATCACTGAAAGTTTGGTCGTATGTGGGCAATTTAAAAAGGCCTTTATTTTGGAAAGCACCATCAGAATGACTGGATATTGATATGGTATCACTGTGGGGTGGTATACTGTTGATCTAAAGTGGAATGACCCAGTGGAAACAGCAATTTTCCATTTTAGAGCATTTTGAAATCACTGAAAGTTTGGTCGTATATGGGCAATTTAAAAAGGCCTTTATTTTGGAAAGCACCATCAGTGTCATTTTTGAGTAGATTTTTCCTGCTCAGGAGTGGAATTTCTGAGTTTGGGTCAGGGTTAGCTGATAGAAACAGGAGCTAAAATATCAAGCTAACGTTATCCTTAACAGTTTATGAACCTGCCGGAGCAGATTAAGACGATGCTGCCTCACCTAGATCGTTGTGGATGTTGTCATCGCCACCATTCAGTGACGTGGACCCAAACTTTAGAGACTTTGTCCTGCCATGCTGCTTGCTCTGTTTGTTTTAGGAAAATGGCTCTCACAAGTTCTTGCTACTGAAGAACCAGGACTGAAACACGGCACAGTTTCACATCATGTGAATCGGTCCTCGGTAGACCGTACGGACATCAGTCGGTGACTTAAAAAGTACCGAATTCGGTACCGGTCCCTCGTCCTCCCTGCTCAGCCTTCTCACACTGCTTTATTTAAAATCTTCATCGTTGTACATTTTATGAGAATATGTAGCGCTGGTTTAAAAAACCCATGAAACATCAAAATGATGCTCAATAACTTAAAAGTTTTAAATGACATTTGATGGGTTTTAAAAGTCTCTCTCCAGCTGCACTGTGTCCATGATCTGGTGTGGGAGACCGTTCTGAAACGCTCATTTTAAATAAAAACAGAAGAACAGAATATATCGTTTTACATATCACCCATTCCTACCCCAACCAGAGGGGACCCACTGGGGATAGCCAATCCAGAGCCAGGAGCCCAGCACACCACGTCTGCCCCTAATGCAGGCCGCCGGCCCCAAGGGCCCACACCCAGAGATCATGGTTCTTCTGTAAAGACCCAGCCCCATGTCATGCATTTGCATTAAGGTGCAGGTGAGGCAACATTAGAGTAACCTTCCAGGTATAGGATCTTAAACGTGATTGAAGAGTTGTTCCAAGGTGATAGAGGCCTGGCTTCATGTTGGGTGTGGCACCTCGTGACCCTGCTACTGATAACTGACAGCAGTGAGCACAGGCATATGTACGTGGGTGCCCTGTGGACTGGTGCTGTCTATTGGAGCTGCCGTGGTGGCAGGTAGGCTAGAAAAGTCACTAGTAAGCACACGTGGTCTGTTTCCAATAGTGTGCCAGTTGTTGTGACTGTAGGCTGCACAGAAACGAGCATAGCTGCTCCATCTGCACTGACTTTGGAGAGTGAGGAGACCCATCCAATATGGCAACGACGCTGTCGCTTAGCATGTTCTCTCCATGCATACGTGAAGTTAGCATGTTCTCTCCCTGCATGTGTTGAGTTAGCATGTTCTCCCCATGCATGTGTGAAATTAGCATGTTCTCTCCCTGCATGTGTTGAGTTAGCATTCTTTCCATGCTTGTGTGGAGTTAGCATGTTCTTTGCATGTATACGTGAAGTTAGCATGTTCTCTCCATGCATACGTGGAGTTAACATGTTCTCTCCATGCGTATGTGGAGTTAGCATGTTCCCTCCATGCATACGTGGTGTTACCATGTTCTCTGCATGTATACGTGGAGTTAGCATGTTCTCTGCATGTATATGTGGTGTTACCATGTTCTCTGCATGTATACGTAGAGTTAAAATGTTCTCTCGATGCTTGCATGGAATTAGCATGTTCCCTCCATGCATACGTGGAGTTAGCATGTTCTCTGCATGTATATGTGGTGTTACCATGTTCTCTGCATGTATACGTAGAGTTAAAATGTTCTCTCGATGCTTGCATGGAATTAGCATGTTCCCTCCATGCATACGTGGAGTTAGCATGTTCTCTCGATGCATGCATGGAATTAGCATGTTCCCTCCATGCATACGTGGAATTAGCATGTTCCCTCCATGCATACGTGGAGTTAGCATGTTCTCTCCATGCATTTGTGGGGGTTTTCCCACCTATTCCAGTTTCTTCTCACAGACCAAAACACGCTTGTCAGGCTAACTAGAGACCTAATGGTCCCTTGGTGTGAGTGAGTGTGTTACTGATTCTTGACTGCCTTTTGCTAGTTGGAGCTAGCAATGCTCCATATCATCATATTGCTCTCCGTTAGCCAATAGAATCTCAGAATGGAGCCCAACTATCAATCACAGATTAAATAGTTGCCACAGAAACCAAATTATGGTTGTGGTTTAATCTTGTTGCTATTGTTAACTTGTGTCTTTGGTTTAAATTTAAAGAGATGGCATGTTGGCAGCTTCTCTCTCATTTACACTGAATAACACCAACAACCAATAATTTGACAGCCACTAAGGATGGAAGGTTTTCCAGATTGTGCTGGAGGAGATTCTCATTAAACCTAGAACTTTGTGGTTTCCATTCCTGATCCAGACTGTGAGCCAGAGGAAGTGTCTGACTGGTCCTTCGATGAAAACTGTCTCTTCTGCTGCGTAAGACGTGAGAAGAACAAGGTAAGATGCCTCACCACACTTCAGTGCAAGAAAACAACTAATGCCAGTAACATTTCTGTCCATATGGTGATGTTTTAGACATGCATGCCCATAAATATTCTCTGGGATTCTCTTGAGTTGTAACCAGTTCCGGTTACCATTCTCACCATTATAGCTGGTGTGAGACTGTTGGTTGGCGCTCTTTACACAACCATAGGTTAGAGCTTTGGTCGAGTTTTCTTTATAAAACCAAATTATGTAAACTGCCTCCTTACCTATTTTCCATCCTGGCTTCTAAAATCACCAACAGAAGCTGTATTGTTCCTAATCAGAATCAGGGCTTCATTAGTGGTACTGGAATCACAGCATTAGGAAATTGCACCGGGACTTGGTGCAAAACGAAAGAACAGGAAGTAACGGTAAAGTAACGGGGGGGGGGGGGGGGGGGTTCTTAAGTCCACAACAACCTCTGCTGTCGTCTGGGTTGTTGTGGCTGCACCAGGACACCAGCCGTTCCACCTCCTTCTGTAGGAAGATTCCTCCCTGTCAGAGACACGTCTGATGACGGTGGTGTCGTCTGTCAACTTGATAAGCTTGACAGCGTCGTGGTTGGAAGTGCAGCTGGTGGTGTACATAAACATGTACCCATGACCAAGTGCTACATGCTACATGCTACATGCTACGTGCTACGTGCTACTGCTGGTGAGATCTAGGCTTGTAAAACATCACCCAACAGCAGTGAAAAGGTTTAGAAAGACGCATTTGCATGAAGCACCTAACAAATGCTGGCATGTAAACTTTAGTCACTAACACAATGATACTAGCTGTTAGCCTATCGGTCCTAGAGGATGGATTTTCCGTCTTTGAACAGAGACTTTTGAGGAAGTCCTCTACATGTAAGATTGTGTTTATTTAGTTTGTGCTGTGGGATTTGAAAAGTTAGCTAGTGGACTTTTTGAATCTGAGACTATCCCTAAACCCAGAAGCACACACACACAGCGACTAGCTGGGGTGAAGAATTATTTCTGTTCTTCATTGTTTAAACTTTTGACCTGATGAAGGTCCAAGTTGGATCAAAGCTTCACCTGTTAATAAACACTCTTCTGCTGTTTGCTTTTGCCTAATGCCGAGAGCACGCGGCTCGACTGTTGGCCATCCGCAGGATTGTTTATGTGATCCAGCATGAGTTCGGCGAGTCAGACTGCCCGACGTGTCGCTGCAGCAGGACACGCTCCTTCATGAGCACAGAAAACGTACGTCACCAAGCAGACGGCTAACCAGAACAACGCTGAGAAGATGAAGTGGAGCGCCGCCACTAACACTTGTTTTTAGTGTCCGCTCAAAGAGGAAGACTGGCTTTAAAAGCCGCTCTGGCCTCAGCCTCTGGCTGTGAGCCACGTTCCGCGTCCTGCAGCCAAACGTCCTCATGAACACATAAAACTCACAAAACCACAGAGGAGTAAGCATCTGTCACAGATCGCTCCGGTATCTAAAGGGTTGCCATGAGTCCTGCCTCGCTGTTTACCCTGCAGCTCAGCAGCTGCTGCCATGGACCGGAGCTTCCTCTGCAGCAGAACGCTACTGGACCACCCTCATCAGCAGAGAGGTTCTGGCCCGGCCCAACCTCGCTTTGGTTCTGCTCAGAGAACCTCGGGACTGGCTGCTCAGGCTGGAGACAACAAAGGGCTGTTTAAACAACGTCAGTCTGTTTAAAATGATGACTTTGTTTTCTTTTAAAAGTACAATCATTTGTTTGAAATAATCCAAATCCTCGCTTCCCGTTTACACGGCCCTTTCTGCTGCTGACCTCCACGAGTCTGTATAACTTCTGAATATAAGCAATAATACGTTTGATTTAAAAACACATTTCTAAACACGGAAGGAGTCAAACACAAGAACATAAGTAGACAGAAACAAACAAACAAGAAAGTAAACAAGGCACTCTGAAGTTCACAGCAGAGAGGTGGGTTTGAGTGAGTTTATGTTGTGGATGTGACGGGAAGGGAGTTCTACAGCGGTGAAACAGAAGGCTCCGCCCCCGTGGTGCTGGGGGTCAGGGTAGTGAGGCGCTGGTTGTGGAAGGCCTTGGAGGTGAGCCGGAGATCCCAGTGCAAGCCAGTGGAGCTGAGGGTTCTGGAGGGAGGCGTGAGCTGAGAGCGATAATCCCTGTTATTCTGGCTTTGTGAAACGGCACAGAGATGAGTCGGACTTGAACACCAACACACAGCTTCTACACGGCGACGCCTTACAAGCACCAACATTAACAAGTAGCACATCTTTGTGAAGTGGACGGAAATCGATTCCTGGATTTTAAAGCAAATAAAAATCTGAAAAGGTTGGCGTGTGCTCCCCATGCTCCCCGTGCTCCCCATGCTCCCTTCAGGGCTGTAGGCCAGGAGGCGCTGGCTAAATGAAGACGGGGACTGGAACTGATGCTGTTAATCCAGACTAGAGTTAGTTTTAGTTTTAGTCGACTAAAGGATGTTGTTGCATTTCTGGTTCTTTTTACCTGGCGGACAGTTTTGTTTCCCGGCTGTAAACTTCCTCAGAGCCGACGCTGATGGTGGCGTCGCCTCCACGCAGCAGGAACACACCAACGATGTTTAAAGTGTATTAAACTTATTCTGATTTTCAACTGAAGAAACTAAATAAACATGTAAAATTCACACTTTGGATCAATAAAACTCTGTAATTATAAATATTGTAGTAACAATAATTAATGGAGAATACCTAAATGAGCTCTGACAGTCCGTGTTAGTAAAGTAAACTAGTGTGTTATATCCAGTAGTATTCGTAAACATGACAGGAAATGACATCATCCTCTAGTAATGGGAGGTGGTAAGCTAAAGGTAACAGATGTTTGGGGTGTTTATTACCTGCAGTAATTTACCAAGGTGGGCAGAACGCTGCTAATCCCGGCCAGATTATTAACGACCGCCGGTCCGGTTCAGGTCCAGTAACAGCACCGTAACCCAGTGATTGCCAGGATGAGTCAGCTTCTCTTTTTGTCTTTTACCATCAGCATTCATCATGATTCCCCTACTCTAATCTAATCTAATCTAATCTAATCTCATAACCCATTCATCATGAAACAACAGTAAAACACTGGTCTGATGAAAGTGGAAGTGATCAGCCTGACCGGGTTCTCCTTTCTTCAGAACCGGACCCGTGTTTGCTCTGCTGCTTCCGTCCACCTTTACACGAGAGGACAGGTGTGTGCTGCTGTGGCGGTGTGTGGATGCACACACACCCTGCTGACCAGCTAACAGGCACAGTGGGAGAAATCACCAGAGATTAAAGAGCTTAAACCTGAACTAATCAGTAAAATAACTTTTGTCACAAGACTGATGAGCAGACGAGTAGATTAGAGGCTGCAGCACACGTTTCTGTTGTCGTCCAGTGAGAGCGCACCTGCGCAGAGACCCGCTGGTAACGCAGCAGCAGCTGAAGGCGCCGGCCGGCTCGTCATTTCAAACTCACACACATCCTGTGTGTGTGTGTGTGTGTGTGTGTGTGTGTAGGAGCACAGCGTGGAAAACGGCGGAGACAGCCACGTGCTGTCAGCGTGTGAGGACTTCAAACAGGGGCAGTCTCGGATCAGCCGGCTGGAGAGACAGGCCCGAGAATTCCTCAATGCTGTGTTCCACAGAAAAGGTAGGCCACGCCCATCCACCTCCGGCTCATGCTGGTCATGTATGATGATGCCAGAAACTTGTGATCCACATGTTAACGCGCTGAAGGTATGTCTCTCTGAATCTGATGGAGCAGCTTCAATCTCACCACATCCTGAAAACTGGTTATTGATCCGAAAGAGAATCAGACGACAACGCTCAGTCGCCTGAGCACCAGGGTGGGTCACCGTGGCAACGGATGTAAACTCGTAGGGTTTAAAAGGTGGTCGTGTGTCGGGATGGAGTGGGGCCAAATAAAGGTGATGCTGCTCAGACCTGCAGGCTGAGAACGTTAAGGAACTCAGAGTAAGTTTCTGTAGAGGATCACAGTGTAGGGAGAAAGTGTGTCTACACCAGTCAAAGTGCCACTTTTCTCCTCATGAAGCCGTGTTAGAAACCTCCTGATGGAAAACCGCAGCAGGGTTACGGTCATTTAACGGAGGCATGGAGGATGTATGGCTGTTCTAGTCGTGCTTTGGTGAGATCTGGCCGGCTCGCATCGGTGAAACAGCACCCTGCGCGTCCCGCCGGCCCGGCTGTGTGCAGCCCTGGGGTGACAGAAGCAGCTCGGTGCTGCTGCAGCCAGACTCCTCCGCAGCTCCTCTTCAGGATTTTAACGGGTGCTTTAAACAAAAACGTGTTCAGTCTCGGGTCGGGTCGTGACCCTTGTTAGTAAACACTCACCTCATTCTTACCTTTACGTCTGGTCCTTGCGTTATTAAACCATCCTTAGAGTAGCAGCTCTTAGCGTTCTGATGGTGTGATGTCATTTCCTGTTATAAGTGCACACTCGAATCTCCTCCTAAGAAGGTTCGGTTTAGGTCTTCCTGCTCATTTGGAGCAACGACGGTTTTCCAGAACAGCCATGAGGGAAACCAGTTCAGAGGTTCTGTTGCTCCCAGGGCTTCCCGTTTTCTGGAACGGAAGCGGTCGATAGCTCCGGCGCTGTAAAGCCGTGGCGCTGTCTCACAGCTCAGCTGACATAAAACCAGAGACAGAGGACAAAAGACGGGGACATGACCAGCTGGAATGTTTCTGTCTCTGTAAACCAGAGCCCTTGTTTCTGTACTGGAGGATCGGACCTCGGTTCTGGGTCCAGGTAACTGCTGGACGTGGGTGGGGCTCTGGCTCCTGCTGACTAGTTTGAATCTTGCTTGAATCTCATTTAAATGAAACGTTTTTGGTTTTCTGTGAAGGATTTCTCTGCAGATCCGTGTAGAGAGCTTTAGAGCAGGAATGAGCCTCCGCTCCGGTCTGCAGAGAGAAACTC